GTCGGACGCGGGGTCGCTCAGGGCGCGGGCCCCGGGCCGGTCCCGCGAGTGAGTCAGCGCGGCGCTGTGTGACCTTGGCCCGGCCGGCGTCTCTGGGCCGGGCGCCTCGGGCCACCGCGGCTGGCGGCTTCCATCCGCGGCCACCCGACCCCCGCGACCCTCGGCCGCCGGTGCGCTCCCCATGCCCACTCGGAGGCCGCCCGGCGCCCACGCCGCGGCCTCGGCAGCCTCTCCACCACCCCGTGGCCACCCTGCGCCCCATGGGTTCGGGTTGGCGCCGCCAGCCTCCAGAAACGGTGTGTTCTGGAAACACGCTTCTTTCGGTCGGTTGTCGTCTTGCGTTTGCTGTGACTTTTCTGCTTTTTTCGTCACGGGGGAGCCCGTCTTGATCTCTGCGATCAAGGATGTGGCCGAGCAAATGCGCCTCGTGGATTAACACGCGCTCCAGACGCTGTGTCCTAGAAGGGGCCTCGCGGTTGGCCTCGGGGAAGGTAGCCCTGCCGCGCGGAGGTGAGTCCCGGGAGGTCCCTGACAGCATCCAGCGTGGGGCCGGCCCAGCCCGCTCCTCGCCGGGGCTTAGCTGCGAGTCGTGGAGGGCTCTGTTCCGTGGGCGCCCACTGAAACCGGCCCGAGGCAGGACAGGGGCTGGCCTTCTCTCTGGCCTGGCCTGCTTCGTGAAGGCTCTGGAATTCAGCTTCTTACAGCGAGTCCTTTTCTACGACCTCCACGCTGGAGGTACCAGAACAGTGAGCAGAAGGAACTTCACCTTAGAAATCTCCTCCGGATACTTTTCTGTTTTCCTTTTGATATTGCAGGATGGTGTTCAAGTTTTGCAAACCTGGAGGACATTTGTCCTGTAGTCTTACTGGAAGTTCATGGTGGGTTGCTAAGTCTTAGGTCGTTGCAACCTATCAGGATAGTAACAGCAGGTCGTTTCAGCGGTCAGCCAGCATGCTTACTTGAGTTTCCTTCAGAGCCCTTAGTTTTGTGACTGTATTTGAAAACGGAGGCAAAGCATTGCAGAGGAGGCTGCTCTTGGCATTCATAATGGCCGAGGACGTGGGAACTGGGGGGTGGGGGGAGCTTCGGGTAATGGGCTCCCAAAGCAGTGAGGAAATTTAGAGGATCATGCTGCTTGGAGCTTCATGAGGAGTTGGTGTCCCCATGGTCCTGGTCCCCAGCAGCGTCAGGTGGGTTAGGTGACCTCAGGTGCAGCAGAACAGCCCTCTGGAATGGCCGCTCTACTCCCACCCTCGTATGTGTAGTTTCACCAGAGTTTTCTAAGTAGACATCTTGACTGAATGAGAAAAAAATGATCATTAAGTGTCTTTTTCAGTGTTTGCCAGGGACTGGTTGCTTTTCAAAGGGAGCCGCAGAGCCACGGCTGTTGAGTCTCGCCTGCTCTGCAAGCTAGTTTCGCATCCTCAGCTCCTTGAGCCGCAGCTGGGGCACGGGGGCGGGGGTGTGTGTGTCTGGGACGCTCTCCTGGCTTCTTGCTCCCATCTCTGCTGTCTGACGCTTGGCCTGACTTCTAAATGGGGAGGGGCAACCATCTTCCTTTGGGCACCCCAAGTCTTGCATCCCAGGCACACCAGGAGGGTTGGCCAGCTATGAGCTTCTAGGAACTATTTCCAGGGTTTCCTGCAGCCTTTCCCGCTGTCCATCTGGTGCTGTCTCTCCAAGGATTCTGTATCCCTGCAGGGCATTTACCACAGCTTGGGAGCAGGTATCCACCTTCACTCTTTATCCACCCTATGGACTGTAAGCTTCTTAAGGGCAGGCAGTGCCGTCTTTCATCTTTCTATTTCAGTAATAAGTTGCAAGTAGAAGGTATTTCTTAGATCTTTGTTAAGTTTTTAAATGGGTAAAGTCAACACAGGTTGGGGTGTTTGCAAATACACTTGTTCTGCTTTTATAGTTGATAGTAGTAGGGGGAAGCATTTAATTATTTTTTTCTAATTTGTCATTTGTCCTGCAGATTCCCCCTGAAGGACTCAAAACGTCTGATCCAGTGGTTGAAGGCTGTTCAGAGGGATAACTGGACGCCCACTAAGTATTCTTTCCTCTGTAGTGAACATTTCACCAAAGATAGCTTCTCCAAGAGACTGGAGGACCAGCACCGCCTGCTCAAGCCCACGGCCGTGCCGTCCATCTTCCACCTGGCTGAGAAGAAAAGGGGGGCCGGAGGCCATGGCCGCCCCCGGAGAAAGGACACCAGGAAGGCCTCGGGGGGTCTGAGGGCACATGCAAGTGACATTGCCGACGGGAGGGCAGCTGCAGGGTCGTCGTCGTCGTGCTCGAGTGGAAGCCTAATGGCCAAGGCCGAGTCCCGCAAGCTGACGCGGGGCGCGTCACAGGGCAGACCCGCAGCCAGGGCTACCCGGGAGGCCGCCGGTCTGCAGCGGGCCCGACAGCCTCCGGAAGGACACGGAGATGACGGTCCGGCCTCCGCCACCGCGTCCGGCGGCCAGGGAGAAGCCAACACTTGTGCTGTGGATGCCGGCGACGAGAACGCCACCTCCCCGGACGGGGGCCTGGTGGACAGGAGCGGCATTTCCGTGGATGACTTTACCCCCCCGGGGTCGGGGGCCTGCAAGTTCATTGGCTCGCTTCATTCCTACAGTTTCTCCTCCAAGCATGCCCGCGAGAGGCCGGCCGTCCCCCGGGAGCCCGTGGACCGCAAGAGGCCGAAGAGAGACGCCGAGCCCGGCTGCAGCGGGAGCAGCCCGGGGCCCGATAAGGGGCCGGCGCAGAGCCCGCCACGCGCGCCCCCCACGGCGAGCTCATCGCTCACAGCCACGCCGCAGAAGCCCGCGCAGGGCCCCTCGGCACCTCCGACCGACGTGACCCCGAAGCCGGCGGCCGAGGCCGTGCAGAGCGAGCACAGCGACGCCAGCCCCATGTCCATCAACGAGGTCATCCTGTCGGCGTCAGGAGCCTGCAAGCTTATCGACTCGCTGCACTCCTACTGCTTCTCCTCCCGCCAGAGCAAGAGCCAGGTGTGCTGCCTGCAGGAGCAGGTGGAGAAGAAGAACGGCGAGCTGAGGGCCCTGCGCCAGAGGGTCAGCCGCTCGGACAGCCAGGTGCGCGAGCTGCGGGAGAAGCTGGACCGGCTGCGGCGGCTGAGCCTCCCCCACCTGAGCAGCCTGCTGGCCCCGGGCCGCGGTCAGTACCCGGGCCTGGCGCCCGCGCGGCTGGGGTTTGCGAGCGCGGGGCCTGCGCCGTGCGGTGCCTCCCGAGAAGGGGAGCCAGGCTGGCGAGCTCGCCTCACCGGCTGGGCTCCGGGGTGCCTGGGAGGTGGCTATAGCTGGGAGCTTTAGCCGGTGAGGAAGGAGGGGTGGGAGACCCAGAACCACGGTGGTGGGGCCCGGACGGCTGGTCCTCCACCCCACTGGGGTCCCTTCCTGCCGCAGACCTCACGCAGACAGTAGTTGCTAACGAGTTAGGGTCGAAACGTAAGCTTAGACAGACGCGGTGAGCCATTAGAAAGATCGTAGGAGACTCTTAAAATCATGAGGAGGTTCTTTCCAGTTGGGTTGTGATGAATATCCTGACGTTAAGCATTTTGAACGTTAATAATAACTTTTTAAAACTTTTAAACACCTATTCGAGTAGAGTATGTTTTCTCGTAAGAACACTGCAGAAATACGTCGGCTAAGAAGTGGTGAAAATTCCCCTTTCCCACTCACCTCCCCACTTTTATTCCTGGTTGCCATTAAAATTTAGTGTGTAGGGCTTCCCTGGTGGCGCGGTGGTTGGGAGTCCGCCTGCCGATGGAGGGGATGAGGGTTTGTGCCCCGGTCTGGGAGGATCCCACATGCCGCAGAGCGGCTGGGCCTGTGAGCCATGGCCGCTGAGCCTGCGCGTCTGGAGCCTGTGCTCCGCAGTGGGAGAGGCCACAACAGTGAGAGGCCCGCGTACTGCAGAAAAAAAAAAAAAAATTAGTGTGTATTCTTAGACTTTTTTTAATGTTTTATGAAAAATATATTTATTTGGCTGCATCGGGTCTTAGTTGCGGCACATGGGATCTTTGGTTGTGGCATGTGGGCTTCTTAGTTGCAGCATGCCAACTTTTATTTCTTACAGAATCAGTTTTGAGGTTAGTATCTTTTGCCTGTTATGTGTATAAAGGTGGAAACCATTTTCCTACCACATCGTGCATTTAGTCTGAATCAGCGTTTGTCTTCCAGGTTGCAATTACCACTGCAGGTGAGAAAAGGCTCCAGTGTGTGACAGGCTGTTCAGGGCCTACTAGACCCCCAGGTCAACAACCATCAGCACAACCAAAAACAAAAGCAAAACCCAAAGCCATCCTGATGTACTGGTCAGAGTTACACACTACATTCTCCTGTTATTTTAAAGTGGTTTTTGTAGTTTCTCGTACCTGATATTCTTGGTACCTTTTTCTGCTCCTCTTGGTCAGACGCCCCAAAGTTTGTCACTATTGCAGGTCTTTCCAAACAGCCTGCATTGATTAGGTCTCCGTTGTTGTTTCTGCTTCCTTCTTCCTGACTTCTTTTTGCTTTCTTGAGTTTTATAGCTGTTCTGGCTCCTGGAGGGAAGTGCATAACGTCTTTGGGGACAGTTTATGTTTCCCGGTACCTGCAGTTGAGGCTGGATCCCTCCTTCTGTCCCTTTGGCTCCCCGCCACAGACCCGCCTCCTGTCGCTCTCCTTGCCCTTAGTTTCTAAAGAGTTTGTAATTTCAGTCTTGATTCCCTCTTTAACTTGAGTTGTTTAGGAGGGTGTTGTGGTTTTCAAGTGGATGGATTGGGGGAAGGGAGTTAATTTTTTGTGTTATTGTTAAGGTTCAGTGACTTAAAGATGCTTGCTTTATAGAATCTTCTGAGGTTTCATTGTGGCTCAGAATGCTCTTTGTTTGTGACTGCTTCCTTACAGCTTGAGAAGAAGGTGTCCTGTCCATCGATTGGTTACATTGTTCTGTCTGCCTGAGGCTGGATCTAGCTTATTTTACTGGTCAACTGATCTGTTTCCTAACTTATTGTATCCACTGATCTGCTGATTTTTTTTTTTAATTTATTTATTTTTGACTGCGTTGGGTCTTAGTTGCAGCACGTGGGATCTTTCGTTGCAGTGCGAGGGGTTCTCTCTAGTTGTGGAGTGTGGGCTCCAGAGGGCCTGGGCTCAGTAGTTGCAGCACACGGGCTTAGTTGCCCATCAGCATGTGGGATCTTAGTTCCCTGACCAGGGATTGAACCCACGTCCCCTGCATTGTAAGGCAGATTCTTAACCACTGGACCACCAGGGAAGTCCCTGATCTGTTGATTTTTAAGAGGTGAGGTAGGTCTGTCACTGTGATTCCTGAGGTGCTATTGCTTCTTGAATGTCTGTTCAGTTTAACTGTATTTACAGACCATGTTATTAGATACGTGAGTATGCCTCCATGTTACCAAACAGAAAGGCCTATTTTGTCCCATTTAAAGTTTTACTTCTTTGTCTCCTTATTTTCAACCTTTTTATATCCCTTTATTTTGTAGCTATATTTTAGCTCAATCTGAGAGCCTTATATAAAGTAATTTAATCCATTTACAACTGGGATTATAGATAAATTGAAACTTGGGCCTGACTCTTTATTTTATTTTTTAATTTGTTAGGCTTTCTCGTTGTTTCTTTTTCTATTCTGATGGGTGTCTGTCAGCCTTCATCCTGTCTTCCTGTAAATGCTTGAGTTGAGGGGCTCCTGTGCCCCTTCCCAGCCCCGTCCCTCCCCCCATCCCTCCCCCCCTGCGGGTCGTCTCTGATCTGAGCTCCAAATCCTCATCTCCCCAGTAGATGCATGTACACGTGGTATTGGTTACTTTATTCACCATGATTTATCGTTACCAATTTTTCCCTCTTTTGGATAAATAGTTAATGATTTGGGGGGAACTCATATGACAGAGAAACTTTGAGAGGAATCGAGTTTGAGATGCCTCATAGGTGCTGATGCCAGAGAGCCAGCACCCAGCCTCTTGAGGTTGCATGTGTGTGCCTGCAGAGAGAGGAGAAAAAGGTATTGTAGAAAGGGGGGTGCTTTGCTGGGCTGCCGCAGCTCTGATCAGAATGGAGAAAGGATGGCTGACTCGGCCACATGGGGTCACTGGTGACCACAGTCTCCTTGGAGTGGTGGGAATGGAGCTGGGTGTAGAGCCAGTGAAGGAAGGGGCCGGTGAGGGTGGCTGGGGACCAGGCACTTTAAGAGGTCGAGCTGTGGGGACAGTGGGCAGTAGCCAGAAGGGAACACGGCTCCACGGGAAAGTTGTGTGTGTCAGATGCGGACGAGGGAGCAGGTGTCTGCTGGGGCCCAGGTGGACAGGGAGAGCCGTGAGGACAGACAGGAGCGCACTGGGCCCTGAGGAGGGGGCGGGGGTGGGTGCTGCCCCTCTGCTCCTGGGCTCCCTGGGGTGGAGGGAGAGGCTGCAGGAGGAGCTGGGCCAGGGGCAGTGGGAGGGGTGGGAGGGAGAGAGGCCATGCAGGGCCCCGCCTGCGGCTCTCCTTGGCATCTGCTCCCTTGACCGTTCCCAGTGTGCTTACGACTTCATTCATCGGTGAAGGAACCTTCTGATGATTTTATAGGGTGTGTTGAAGGGACTGTACACATGTTTATTCAGTCCGTGACCTTCAGCCAGTCCCATTTTTTTGGACAGAATCCCTGAAGCAGAGAAGCCCGGCCAGTGGACCTGCAGGTTCCGGGCTCTGGGAAGTTTGCCCTCCAGAAGGCTGGTGCTGAGTGGCATTCCCACAGGATGGGGTGCTCTGTCCCTGAGCCCGTGCTGAGTCCAGGCGTCATGCCGCACCAGCCCGCGTTGCTGGCCTTTCTGTGAACCAGTGAGGATGAACATCTTTCCGCGTTCATCCCCTCTCTGTCCTTCCCTGACCGTGCCATTCCCGCCTTGCCCACTGACCTGTGAATGTCCCTGATGTGACAAGGATGTCCACTATCAAGTGTGATTCAGCCGTGCCCTCAGTTTTAATTTAATACTTGCTTCAAAAATATGTTTTCTTCCTGCTCTTTTATTCATTATACAGACAGTTCTTGAGCTAATCTGGAGTTTTAAAAGCTTTTTATTGTGGAAATCTTGAACATGTACAAATTAAACAGAAAAGTATAATAACCCCCTTGTACCTACCCCCTAGCTTCAACATTTATCAGTATTCTGATACTCTTGTTTCATCTATATTTTTACCTACTCCCTACCTTCCATTGATTATTTTCTGATTAATAGAGGGTTTTTTTAGGAAAGTTTGAGAGTAGTCAGCAGATAGTACAGGAAATTCCCCCACAGTTTCCCCTGCTACTAACATCTTGCATTTCCACTTGTGTTAGTGTGGTTCATTCATTACAAGTTATGAACCCATATAGATACGTTGTTATTAACTAAGTCCACAGTTTACATTTAGGTTCCTGTCTTATACTTGGATTTTTTTTCCTCTGACAAACTATTGTTAACAAAACAGAGTATCTTTCAAAGATACAAATCTCAAGAGGATTTTATTTAAGACCAACTCAGTAGAATGAAGTAAAAGATTGAGTGGGTAGAAATTTTGTGATTTCAAACCATTGAAGATGAATCATTGCTGGGCAAGTAAAACGTGGTTGGGGAAGGGACAAAAAGAGGAATCTTTCAAACAAGCACAAACACAGGAGCACCAGCCTTGCCCCACTGAAGGCCTGGGGAGGAAGGCGACCACTGCACGCGTCTGAGTCCCGGCCAGGGTCTGTGCGCCCCTGGAAACACTCGGGCAGGTCAGCCCGCAGGACGCCTTATACTTGGGTTTTGACAGGTACATGAGCACATGTATCCTCATTACAATATCACAGAGCAGTTTCACTGCCCTAAAAACCTCTCTGTCCACTGTTCGCGCCTTTCCTCCCAGTCCTTGGCAGCCACTGATCTTTAGACTGTTTCTGTAGTTTTGCCTTTTCTAGGATGTCGCCTGATTGGGATGTATGGATGCTGTGAACTAGAGCATGCAGCCTTTTCAGGTTGGCTTCTTTCACTTAGTATATATTTAGGGTTCCTCTGTCGTTTTATGGTTTGGTAGTTCATTTCTTTTTTGTTGTTGTTCCTTTTCTTATATTGAGTTAAAATACAAATAACAAAAAATGTATCTTCTTAACAGTTTGTCAGTGTACAGTTCAGTGGCATTAAATACATTCACGTTGTTGAGCAGCCATCACCACCATCCATGCCCATAACTCATGTAAATCTGAAACTCTATACCAATTAAACAATAACTCTCCCTCTCCCCGCGCCTAGCCATTGGCAGCCACCATTCTACTTTCTGTCTCCATGATTTTGACGCATGTAAGTGAAATCATATAGTATTTGTCCGTCTGTGATTAGCTGTTTCAGTTAGCCTAGTGCCCACAACGTACATCCATGTTGTAGCATACTACAGAATTTTCTTCCATTGTATGGATGGACCACAATTTGTTTATCCACTCATCCATCGACGGACATTGGGTTGCTTCCACCCACTGGCTGTTAGGAACCATGCTGCTATGAATGTGGGTGTACAAGTAACTTTTCAAGACCTGACTTTCTGTTCTTTCGGGTGTATACCCAGAAGTGGGATTGCCGGTTCATATGGTATACGTTCTGTGTTTAATTTTTTGAGGAACTTACGTACTATTTTCCGTAATGAATACACCACATTACATTCCTGCTGACAGTGCACAAGAGTTCCAGTTTCTCGGCATCGTTACCAACACGTGTTTTCTGTGTTTTTGATAACAGCCATCCTCATGGGTGTGGGGCAGTCTCGTCTCACCGTGGTTTTCGTTTGCATCTCCCTAACGGTCAGTCACACTGAGCATCTTTTCATGTGTATATTGGCCAGTCGTATGTCTTCTTTGGAGAAATGTCTGTTCAAGTCCTTTGCCCATTTTTCAGTCAGGTTATTTGGGGGGGGTTTTGTTGTTTAGTTTTAGGAGTTCTGTATATAGTCTAGATATTGATCTCATATCAGAAATATGATTTGCAAATATTTTCTCCCATTCTGTAGGTTGCCTTTTTACCATGTGGATATTGCCTTTTGATATACAAATTATAACAATTTTCTTAAAGTCCAGTTTGTCTATTTTTTCTTTTGTTACCTGTACCTTTGTTGTCATATTTCAGAAATCATTGTCAAGTCCAGTGTCGTGAAACTTTCATCCTATGTTTTCTTCTAAGAGTTTTATTACTTTAGGTCTTACGTTTAGGT